AGTTGCCTTGCAGCTTCAGCTCCAGCTTCCGGAGGGGCAGCTTGGCGATGGCAGCGGCCAAGGCTTGGGCTCCCTCGTCGCCTCGGAGGGACGTGGCATCGCTTGGCCAGCTTCTTCGGAATGGGCTCGCATCCGCTGCAATAGGTACTCTCTACACATGAACTGTATGTAGCCGCTCAATGCATAGAAGACATGCGCACTGACATGCGCAGCAAGTCTTCGCAACAGGCTTGGCGGAAGCAGTACATGAGAACAAAAAAAGTTGGCGCATCAACGAAGAGAGAGCCAAAAGTGACGGTCCTGAAACGTGCAGGGAACCTGCAGCGAACATCCGGTGGCCTCCGCTCGGAGCCTCCGACCCCTGGTGATACAATCCGACTTGCCCCACCCTCTGCCCCCCCACCCCACCCCACTGACTCTGCTACAGATCTTCGGTCTCACGGAAAAACTCTCTGGCAGAGCGGCCCGAGGAAGACTCCCTGTTTCTCTGCCGAGTGGGAGTGGCTGGAGATTGGTATGAGAGCTGTCTTCAGGGGGGGGACTGCTACCCGACACCCAAAGTTGGTTTTGAAGAGTCTGGTCAAGCCTGAAAGGTGGCAACAGTAGACACTCGCAAAAGAAAATTCACATAAGCCCTTTTTCAGGGGAGCCGTTCCTTTAGATCGGAGCTGTGCTGCGGGTAGGAGACGGGGTGCCTACGAACTCTCACCGGAACCGAGCAAAGTTGGGTGCTGAAAGGTGTCAGGGAGTCGGTGCCCGGACCTGCTTACACACATGTGCTCTTCTCAGGGCGGAGGGTTGAAGCCTTGGACCCCTGTGAATCTTCACGAAGTGTTGCGCAGCGGATTCTGTACAGACATGTCAATGAACATAAGCGCCAAGGCAGAAGATTTTGAGATCTCGGAGATCCGAGCTTTTGATAGCTGGAAACATCTGGAAACTTTACCCTGGTCTATGTCTGCATTTCAGCCACAATGTCCCGAACAACAGAAGATTCACATGAGAGAACAACGCTGAGCTGTCCGGGGCAAGCTCCGAGCCCCGCCGTGGGCCTTTCCTCTGGGCCCCGGGCCGAGCCGGTTTCGGCAGGACACGTGCGGGATGCAGACTTTGGGCTTCAGACCGAAACGTTCCGAGAATTCTAACCATTCCAAGAATCACCTGCATTCCAGAAAATACGCTAAACTTCTCTCTAACAAACACACCCCGAAAGGCAGCACCAAGTATACCGAAAACTTCTTCGACTGCGCCGGTGCCCCCACACACTCTTCTAAAGATCTTCGGCCTCTCGGAAGAACGCAGGAAGAGCGGCCCCTGGCTATCCGAGGAACCCCGCTGAGATCCCCGGCCGATTCTGTTCTTATACAGGCTCAGCCGCAGCTGTCGGAGCCGCTTGGGCAGCGCAGAGGCCAAGCTGCTGGCGCCCTCGGGGCCTCACACTGAAACCACTCGGAATCCTTCAATGAACGATACGAAATCAAGTACTAGCTGGACCCTCGAGACTTGAGTGAGCTTGGCCATTGGCTCTCAAACCCTGTTGAAACGGATTCATTCCGCTGGCTGGTCGGGCTTTACGCCGCCTCTGCAAGCTCACAAATTTGGTCCGCCGAATACTCAAGTTACCCATTACGACACCTGGATCACAGAGCTCCCCCATTCCGTGTGGGACACAAACACGTCGCGGAGAGAGACCACGCACTGAGTGCCCTTTCCGAACAAATCCGACCCCGCACAGTCCGGGTCCCTCACCCAGATGGTTGCTATCCAAAATGAGCGCCAGCTTCTCGCTGCAAAGCAGGGCTCCTCCGGAAAGAAGCCGACTCGCACGGCGACCACGGCACAGGCAGCTCGTATTCTCGCCTATGCACAAAGCGAGTCCTTGGAAAGCCTCCGCGTCCGCGGCGCCCAACTCTGTCTGCCCAAGGTCGATCTCCGCCTCCGTTTTGTGGGCCGTCGTCATCATCAGACAGAAGCGGAGGGCACCTGCGGGAGACCGGAGCTGAAGCCATGAGATTTTTTGTCTCCGGGGGTGTGTCGTCGCTCACTGCGACTACACTGATCAGAAGCAGAACTGCGACTGCGACGGTGGACGCGCAGGCCTCGCAGCATCGGCTGCTGCTGGGCTTCGGCGAAGGCTTCCTTCCAGGCCGGCGCCTGGGCACCCGCCAACCGGGCCTGTCAGCCGCGGCGCAAAAGAATTATAAAATTAAAATCCGCCGCACAATCACAGGGTCTACCGACAATAGCAACAGCAATGTAGCGCTCACGGGCGCGATCTCCGCGCAGCGCCTCTGCGGCTAGGAACTCCTGCATTCGCAGGTGGTACAGCTGCACCTGGCAAAGGGTGTGGCCTATAGAGCGAACTTCTGATCCGATGAATCTCCAAGCACGGTTTGCGCCACCGCTTGGCCAGCCGGCTCGAAGAATCTCAAGTGCCCGAGCTGCGCTTCCTGGAAGACCACCTGGCTGCAAAAACAGGCGTGAGCGAAACCGCACGTAATGCGTGTGTCAGCTGCGCATGCCTGACGGGTTGCAGTCGCGACCGCAGCTCATTTCTGTGCTGGTGTTTTCATTATCATGTGTTGCGGCCACATGGCAAGACACTGTATGAACATGCACGGGCATCGTTCTATCTAATTACGCAGGCCCTGCAACACCTGAGACGCAGTCACCCATGGGCGCTCGTGCTTCTCCTGCCTGGCTGGTGAAGTCCGACTCCAACAGCAGCCGCTGGCCCGCCTGCAGCGGGAGCACAAGCGGATTCCTGAAAGTTCTCTGCGGGTGCCCGGGCGAGTTGCCTGGAGCTTGGCCAGGCACAGCGGACCCAGCTCTGCTCGAAGCCCCTTGCAGCCGGTCCGCTCCTCTGCCTGGCTCTGCCCACACACTTGCAAATGCATCAGACTTGCAACAAAATCCAGACATAGCGTCTGGTTGCGACAGATTCACACGATTCTGTACAGTTTCCTGGACCCGCCTGCTTCAGCAGCGTCTCCACCGCGTGCTCCATCAGCACCAGCTCCGCCGTGGCGCCGTCGAGCTCTTCCTCCTGCAGTCAGCATCGTGATGTGATGTGATGTGCATACTGATTCTACTCTCTGTCTACAATCTCGAGAGAGGGCGGGAAAGGGAGAGGCAGGGAATCAGAAGCGAGAGAGCGGATGCATTCGGTGCTCCGGTCCTTCTGGCCCCGAGGATATGTGCCTCTGCCGGGCCGGCGTCGCTGTGATATTATAGAACGGATATACATGTAAATATTTCACGTGCAGAAACCTACCACCCCGCTGCCCCCCGCTCAAGACTCTGCGCAGCTGAACGGGGGCGGGGCCCAGGATGCTGGCCATCAGGGGAGTCCGCCAAACCTGCATTGCGGAACCCTCTGGAAAGCTCTGCTGCTAGGCAATAAATGACGCGGCTACCGTGGTGCCCAGCTGCCCCTCTACGTGCATGTCAATGTGACATCACCTCACATCCCTGACGATCTGCCGAGTCGAGGGGCCGCTTCCGGGAGCGCTCGCAGCTCCTCCTCGCGGAACTTCGAGATCCTGCAAAACGGGGGCCCGAGCCACGTGCTTCGAAGATTTCCTGAGACCCTCGCCGAGTTGGGCGGGCCTGGAGGCCACGGGAGGACTGAGCGGCAGGATCTCCAGTGGGGCGAAGCCCAGCCTCTTTCGCACGGCATGGGAGGCCCCAGGCAGAAGCTCAACGACAGCTGAGGCCAGGGCTGCAGCGACAGCTCATCCTGCACCGTCATCTCCTTGAGCATCGCCGGGCAGCGCGGGACCGCCGCGTCCAGGACCACCCGGAAGCAACCTGAGAGTCTATGCACATCTGCGCGCACAAGGGCATGCGGCGGCGGCGCCAATCCAAGTTTTCGCCGAGACGCGGTCAAGAGGCAGCAGTTCTCTCTGTGGCCCGTCGCTTTGGGACTCTTCGTCTTCCTGATCGCTGCGGGGTCCGGCTGGCTCGGCCCCGAGCTGGACCTCATCGCCTCAGCAAGCAGGGAAACAAGCAGCAAGAGAGCCGCGCTTAAGAGGGAGAGAGAGCAAGCGGCCTGGCCTGGCTCCAGGTCACCCACCAGGAAAACCCCGGCCGACGTCTCACGAAGGCTCCTAAACGTCGTCGTTGCTCTACGTTGTGCAAAAAAGGCGACGCGGCTGCTGGCTCAGCGCACTCGACCTGAGGCCTGCACACTTCCACGTCTTCGACGTTACGGTCGTCGGGCGCGTCTTCGCGAGTCGTCAGGAAGGCGCGGCAGGGAAAGGCGCCTGTGGGCCACTGCAGCATGATGATGTACAAAATGGTCATTCTGTCCTGGCACACGAAAACGCCGCGACGCTCCGAGCGCAGGGAGCGGGCGCCCTCGGTCCTCCCACTCTTCGCCGTCGGCCCGGCGCGCCACCACCCGGTGACTCTTCTCCGGATCGCCGCCGGCGGTTCGGAAGGCTCGCTCCAGGATCACCTGGGCACTGGAGCGGTCGGCGAAGTCCAGGGACACCGTGGCGGAGAAGACACGCTTCGGATCCTGTTGGGCAGCCATGCACTCTCCACGTGACGGTTTCTCAAGCTACGGCTGAGGACAAGGTGTGCGCGTGGGCCTTGCGGCGCACCTTCAGGGAGTGCACCCCGGGCTCCAGGCCGCTCACCTCCTTCTTCTTCTTCTGCAGCAGAAAGCCCTGGCCAGTGCCCAAGAGCTCTCTGCCAACCACTCTGTCGGGAGCGAGCTCTCTCCGCTGTGCCCCGCGGCGCCTCCTCGCAGGAGAGGACGGTGCCGACTCCCAGGCTCTGCCCGGCGCCCTCGTGCAGCCGAACATGGGAGGAGACCGGCAGCGGCTCCTGCGCGACGGCTCGGCTCAAGACACCTAAACGCTGGTGCGTCCGTGCAGAGACGCATTCTTGAGCTGCAAGTGTGGAGACGACAGCGCAAATTATCCCGAGATGCGCCCACTTCGGCAGCTGATGTGGCTTATGGATGTGATGCCTTTGAACCGCGCAAGCCGCAGTCAGTTAGCGCAGCTTGCTGGGCTGCTTGGGTCAGCAGCGACGTCTCGGAGAACTGGCCAAGCACGGCCGACGCCGCAGGCTCGCGAGCGCTGCCACTGCTGGCCAGCACCCTCAGTCCTGAATCGAGAGCAGCATGGACAGGCTGCTTGCGTTGCAGGGATCGGCCATCGACCAACTCTGTGATGAAAGTTCCGCATCCAAAGGCCTTCCAAAGGCGCGCTGGGATCCGGGCTGGTTGGTCCCGGACGGCCGAGAGGCGATGATGGTGCAAATGCATCGGTGGCCGTTTGCCCTGGGCCAGAGCGTTGACAACAAGCAGCTTGTGGGCTCTGACAATTCAAGGTCAAATTGCTGGCCGAAGAGCTGCAGCCACTGCTGGAGCCAATTGAGGATCCGTCGGCGGGCCGTGGCGGCTTCGTCCAGGCCGTCCAGGACCAGGACGAGCCGCCGATCGCCTGGCACGAAAGTTTTTCGGGCCACGTCAAGTCAGCCGACACGGAGCCTGGCGCTGCGCCTCTCAAAATCTCGTCGCTGTCGCTGCCGAAGGCTCGCTCTGCCCAGGCCTGAAACCTCAGTGTCTGCGCAGGAGTCCCTCCGGTTGCAGTTGCGGGCCTGGCGCATCGCACGCCAGATTCTGCAAGCGAGAAAGCTGGTGAGAGCTGAAGTGCAGAGGAGTTGCAGGTCGACTCCTTGCACCTGATAAGCAGCATCTACTTTGTGTCCGCAACCGCAAGAAACACCGATTCAGCATTTACAGATCATGTCTAGCTCGGGTTCTTCGTGGCCTCGCTTTTCGTTTCGGTAAGTCTGACAAACAAAGTCTGCGCACATCGACAAACAGACAGACGGACAGACAGATAGATAGATAGATAG